GCCTGGGCAGCACAGCTGTAGTCATATGATGCTGGGGTGATCCAGTCCCCCCGGCCCCCACCTGTGAGGGTGGTTTGATTCAGCATCTCTCCCGAGCTCCTGCTGTGCACTAGACTGCGGCATGCAGGGCGCTCAGGAGCTGGCCACCTGGGGGATGGTGGGGGCACGGACACAGGCCCTGAGAGGCCGTGGCAGCGGTGCGTGCAGTGCAGGCAGGGTGGGCAGAGGGTGGTCCTGACCTGGGTGTCTCGGAGCCTGGGATGTGGGAGCCGACCCCGGAAGAATGTGGAAGCAGGATGGGCATGTGCAGGAAATGTCTGTGGGTGTCCCCAGGGTGCACAGAGTAGAGAGACAATGGATGCCCAGCTAGAAAGGTCTGTCGGGGTGGAATGTCCTGGAAGGTAGCTCCAGTGGCAAAGCAAGGGAGGGGCAGGCTACAGAGCTGCCTCGCCACCTAGTGAAGGGCTCAGTGTCCCACGTCCTGAGTGCCTGGCCTCTTCTCTTCTGGCCACAGGTTCACCATCTCAGGCCTCGGGGAGTGTGTCTTCGTGGAGCCCACCAGGCTGGTGTCGACGGAGTGTCTCATGACCCGGCCCTGGGTGTGCAGCAAGATGGCCTACACGTGAGGTGGGTCGGGCCACAGGCGGCACCTCCTCCCAGGCCCGAGGGAGGTGTCTGCTCTGAGACCTGCCTCCGGCGGGAGTCGCCTGCCCTCTCCAAGGCGACGCAGTGGTGGGGTGGCCTCCACCCTGGGCCCCTTCCCCAGGCCCTGGAGCACTGAGTCCTTGGCTCCTGGTCTCCTCTGTCCCCAGGCAGGTCCTGTGGCCCATATGCTAAGTAGTGTAGGCATCTGTCCCCCCAAACACACACGCACATCACACGCTCATGCACACGCACGTGTACGCACACGCACAGTCCCCTCTCAAGTTCAGAGTCCACCCTGAGCCACTCACAAGTGCTTCCTCACTGCAGCCCTGGTGCTTTGGGGGACTGGGGGACTGCCACAGGAGGTATTCCTGTTGGCACAGCAGCCCCGCCTTCCAGAGGTTGCTCTCCTGGTTGCCGGGGCAGGTGGCAGGGACGGCTTCCCCCTCGCCTGGGCCGGGCCAGTCCAGGGCCCCGCGGGTCCCCTGCATCCACCCTCTGTGCCCTGCCCGGGGTTCTCAGGCAGGGCGCCTGCTGTGTCCGTGGTGCTGTTGTACTGGTCACTGATGGAATAAAGAGATGGCTGGCATCCAGAGAAGTCTGCTGCCGTTTGTTCCAGGGTCACAGCTCGGAGGAGGGACAGGGAGGGGCCGCCTCAGAGACGGACTTGTTCCAGTGCTGCAGATGTTGGCGTGTAGGAACAGAGTAAAAAAAAAACACACCTTACGGCCTCAGGGCATTCTTTAATGTTGCCATCAGACGAGGCTTGTGAAGTGAAGTGGTTTCCCAGATTTTACAGTGACAAATGACAGAGCCTGGATTTGAACCCAAATATGGCTGACTCCCAAGCTATACTATCTATATTGCCCCCTCTCTTCATGCCTCACTGGCCTGAGATAACTTGAAACCTGTGACAGTCTCTTCCCACTCAGCGGGGCTTCCTCCAAGCACCCACTTTTTCCTTTCGGTCTGGCGTTTTATCTGTCAACACTTTAAAGGCAGCCCCAGTTCATGAGACTGGTCTGCCACGGATAAAGATTCTGAGAGGACCACTGCAATAAAACTTAGGAAGATGCTGAAACAGAACACAAAAAGACATAAAAGTGGATGTCAAGTGTTTCTTTACCAGGGTACCTGCAATCTAGCATTGCTTTAGAAGGGGCATCAAATGCAAAGTATCCTTGTAGAAGAAACTATGTATCTTCTATAGATCACTACGTGCAAGACAAGCATTTGAAGAATGGAACTGGAGAGTCTCACAGTCCTGGAGGAATGTCCAGCTCCCGGCTCTGTTTTCTCCTCACAGAGTGAGGATTAGGGCTGTTGCTGAACAGTGGATTGTTTTCATCCTCAAGGAGTGTGAGAGAGCGTGTGGGTAGCCATGGAGGAAATACAGTTCCCAAAAGGAAGTCCGAGTGGTCCGAGTTGGATGTAAAATGTGCGAGGTGGGTGGGGGAAAGCACCCAAGGCCCCACCTTTAAAGCCAAGTGCTGGCAAAAGAGAGGGACCGGATGTGCAAGGTAAAGATCGTGAGGATGCCCACGCCTATGGGTGTGACATTTACACTCTGCCCTTCACGTATGCTCTGTTTTTATGCTTATTCAGTATTTGCTTAAACTTAGCTATTCTAGCAAAGGGTTAGAAAACACACATAAGCCAGACTCTCAGGAAAAAACCTCGCACTGTTTGGAACAGGCGGGGGCGTGGCCTCCTCACCCAGCAACATGCACTAAAGACCGGGGAGCTTTGTGATGCAGGAGCATCTCCCCCTAAAGGCAAGCCTGACAGTGACCACCACGAGCTGAGTGAGAGTGCCACTTAATCGTTTCGTGGTCTTCCTCTCGGGCCTTCCTTGGCTCCGCTGGGAAGGAGGCATATGAGTCTGGAATTTCGCGTCCTACTCATCACAGTCAAGGGGACAACTGGCCATTTTCCTAGCCAGGATTGACTGTGCTTGAGGGGAACACTGACGGCAGTGAGTCTGTCTTTTCGCTTTAGACGTGAGCACCTTTCCGGGCATGCTGGCTCCTTGCGCACAACTGCACCGCAGTCCCCTTTGTCACGCTCGCTTCCCACTGCACGTAGGGTCTGCTTCCCTTCCCAGCTCCACGCAGTGTGATCCCTGGCAGGGCACTTCTAATAAAAACGTAAAATAAAATGGATGATGGAAGAGTCCTGAAATTCTGTCAAAATCTTCTGCATGGATTTTTATGTAATTTGAACTTTGGCTGGGTTGAATTTAATCCAAGTTCAAGTCCTGGCTACGTTTAGGGTTTTGCTGGTATTCTGTGTGGACTTCTGGCAGACTCTGAACTTGGAGAGTAGTAGGGTGGGCTGGTGGGGAATGAGGGTGGGCTGAGTCGTTTGTTCATTTGTCCAAATAGTTACTGGCCACCCATTCTGTACCTGGCATTGTAACAGATGCCCTGGAAACAGAAATGAAAGATAAATCCTTACCTGCAAGAATTTTAGGGTTTTGTGGAGAAGGAAAATAAGGAAAGAGATGTTGACAGTATGACCTAATGACTAGAGCCACCTCCTCAGTCAGGGGTGTTGGGACAAGCTTCCCGAAGAGATGACTCCGGCTGGTTCTTGAAGGCATTTAGGAGGCAAGTGTGAAGGAACAAAAGAGGGAGGGGACACTGGAGGGGAGCTCTGGGGGGAGAGGAAAGAGGTGTGGGGCAGACCACTGCGGGGTTTGGGGTGGGTGGGGCCGGGGCATCTCTGCCTTGCAGCCTGGCTCTCTGGTTGCTCTGTGGGGCCGGGGCCTGGGGGGAGTGGGGCTCCCGGCAGCCACGGGAGGCCTAGCTGAGGCTGGAGTCTTCGGGTCGCAGGGCTCGTGGTCGCTGCCTAGCCCTGGGAGCAGAGAAGGTGGAGGAACTCAAGCCACAGCAAGTGGGCAAGACGCAGAGAGCTGAGGATGTGGGGAAGAGGGGTGACAGGAAGGCCGGGGCATCTGGGCCAGCGGGGAGGGTACAAATTGGAGGCACAGGAAATCGAGGACTCAGTGCCTGGAGGAACCCAGGCCTGAGAACGCTGGAAATGGAAGCAGGAGGGGGCTGCCAGGCAGGGAAACCAGACCCCTGTGCGTTGCTGGTGGCAATGTGACAAGGTGCACCTGCCACGGAGAACAGTATTTCGGGTCTTCAGAGAGTCAGTCACAATGATGAAATTAAGAAGGAAATGAAAAAATTTCTTGAAACCAATGAAAATGGAAACATAACATACCAAAATCTACGGGATACAGTAAAAATATAGTTGAAAATAATGAAGAAAATGTCAATACAAAAAAACCAGAGGATAAAGAGAAATTGGCCTGGGAGTTCAAGACACAGTGTTTTCAACAGGGCTTTGTGTGGGCGAGCGGCGATTTGGAGAAGACAGAGCTGGGTTTGCCGTCAGACTGACCCGGTGTTTAGCAGATAATAAATGTTAAAATAACTTTTAAAAAAGTTAACCATAGAATTGCCATACGATCCAGCAATTCCCCCTCTGGGTATATACCCCAAAGAACTGAAAGCAGGGATTTGAACACATACTTGCACACCAATGCTCATGGCAACATTGTTCACAATAGCTCAGGGGTGGAAGCCACCCAAACGTCCACCAACAGGTGAGTGGACAAGCAAAAGGTGGCACATACATCACCAAATGTTATTCAGCCGTAAAAAGGGATGAAATTCTGATATAACATGAATGAACCTAAAAACATTATGCTAAGTGAAATGAGCCAGACACAAAAGGACAAATAGATAATCCTACTTACATGAAATACATAGAGTAGGCAAATTCATAGACACAGAACGCAGAAGGGCGGGTGCCAGGGGATGGGGGGAGGAAGAAATGGGGAGCTGCTGTTTAATGGGTTCAGAACTTCTGTTTGGGATAATGAAAGAGTTCTGGAAATGGATAGTGGTGATGGTTGTACAGCAACGTGAATGCAATTAATGCCCCTGATTGTACACTTAAAAATGGTTACAATGGTAATTTTATGTTACATGTATTTTACCATAATTTAAGAAAAAAAAAGTGTCGGAAAGCTGGGAAGCCCGGGTCCAGGGGGATGTGTAGTTTCTTAGGCTTCCGGAGGTGGAGCAGCTGCGAGGGTAGGGCCCTAAGGGGCTGTGGCGCCATCAGCTCAGGTGGGGAAGAACAAGGGCCCTGGTGATGGACCCAGGAGTGAAGAGGCTGCCGGACACCAGTGTGTCTGGTGAGAGGGCAGGGCCTGGGTGCACAGGAAGGCCACACCCCATGCCCAGATCCAGGAGGAATGGCGGGAAGCTCCTAGGAGAGCAGGTGACAGCCAAGCCTTAGGCCTCAGGGATGGCGTTTGGGAGCAGATGGGGTTGGAATGGCTTAGAGGAGGCGGTGGGGAGCCCAGAGGCTGCACAGGAACTGATGGTAAAACGATCTCAAGGCCCTCCCTCTATAAGCCCCGCACAGTCATCCCTGCAAATCTTCAACGCGGTGGTGGGTTCCGAACATTTTCAGAGGCATTAAATAATTTCTGAAGGGCTAAATCACTTTGGAAATATGTTACCTGCAACGATAACCTCTTTAGTGTTATAACCGGTCTGGTTCTAGGATGAATAAGTGCGCCAGGCGGGGTGTACAGTGATTCCAAACAGTTTAATGTAATTCCAAGACAAAGTGTGATTACATTTCTACACATATACAATATGCATATGTGAGTTTACAAATTTTAATTAATAAGTCGTTTCACCTCAGAGACCGAAAAAATGATCAAAAAGAAACTGTGAGTAACAAGCTATAACATAGTTCACCACAATGGGACCCCCTTTCTCACCCTACAGTTAGTAATATTACAATTAAAATAACTATATTCTTCTATAATTTTTTTCTGTTAAAATCATCTCATAAATTTACAATGCTATTATTAGTTTCCAAGACTAATATAAATTCACTCCATTTTTCTACAACGAAAATGATTAATTTAGAAGCACACGACGTCATGATGAAAAACACAAGCATTTTAGTAGCAAGGACTTGATCAGTTAAGAATTAGTTTTCTTGTAAAACATTCTAAAGCCAAGTAAAATATCCATTCTTATAACATACCTATAATATGAGACTAAGGAATAGGTTACATATAGGTCTACAACACGTTGGTTTGTCTTTAAAAAAAAGTAGACATTTATAAATAAAAAAGAAAAGAGGGACAATTCACATAGGAAAAAGAGGTACACGAGAAAATACTGTTGCACGCAATAATTTCCACACAGATTAACATGGATTAACACTTTTTATTACAGAAACCGTACAGTGAAGGAACACAACAGACCAGGGCTACCATAGGGTTGTTCGGATTGAGCTGAGATGACCTGGTAGAGAAAGATCTAGGCAAGATGACCCTGGGGAGGGAGCCACGTTCCTTGAACTGGCGCTGAGTGTGGCCAGGTCTCTTCTTCCCTGTGCTCATCGTGGGGAGTGAGTCCTTCTATCCAGAGTGTCCTGAATCCGTGGGCAGTTGAAAGGTAAACATTTCTACAGATCCGTTCTCTTTCCATCCTAATGGATACCATTTTTGGAAACGTGATAGAATCTCAGAGGCTGCAGCTCAATACATGTGGTCAAAGCAAAATGGGATGGAAAATTCCAGTCCTTCTGATTGGTCGCCCCCCTCACCCACCTATGCCCTTGACGCTGGGACCTAGGGAGCGCAATGTGGCGCCCTGAGGGCCCAGCTGGCTCGGCTGCGGTGAGGTGGATGACGCGGCCCCTGCTCGTCTGACACACGATGCTGACTCCAACCTCAAAAGAGCTCCTCTTCCTCCTCCTCCATAAAGCTATACTTCTCCTATCAGAAATTTGGTTTGATATATATACACAAACATATATATCAACATCTATATCTATACAGTGATTCTACTAAACTAGAAATTCTGCTGCCCCAAAGTACGACTTTTTTTTTTTTATCTACTTCATTTGGTTAAAAAAATGCACACAGAGAGGATGAAGAGATGCTTTGGGGGCCAGAGATGATTGTGCCCTGGAAAGTCCACAGAGGAAAGGTTTAAATGAGCAGTAACCCAGACGTGGGGAGAGTGACAGGGTGGTTTAGATAGCCCCAACAGGAGTATCTGCTTTGGGGGCAGGGGCGGGGCTGCTTATATTCTGTTCAGAAGTCACAGAAAGCTACCAAGGGTGGGCACAGTCAAGTCACGTTCCACTTCCCAAGTTCTTCCTTCTAACCTGAGCCAAACCATTTAGACAACAGCGACCGCTCCGCTGCCCCTTCAACCCAGCAGGCCACCGTCTGGCAGGGAGGCAAGGCCACCGCTCTCGAGGCTAAGTGGGCCCGGCCCTCCTTGCTGGTTCTTGAGCTTCCTGGGAGTCCTGGGTGCCTGGGATAGAGCTGTGGCGACAGCAGGGCAGAGGCAGAGGGGGCCACGGGGACAGTGACCTAACACAGGGAAGGGGGCGGCGCCAGGAGAGAACTGTTTGGAGATTGGTTGAAGGGAAACTGGCGAGAGCAAAGGCAGAGCCTTTTTTCAGATATAATACACTTAACTTTCCAAATAAAACAAAAAAGGCAATTTCTATACTTCTAGTTTTAAAAAATATGGGTAAGCCCCAAAGACAGTGACACACGATTCATTTGGTTAGTTCATGTGAAGGAAAAAAAACTACAGACAGGAGACTGGGAGTATGATGGTGGGGTGAGATGAAAAATACTTCACAATAACATCTGTAACAAAAAGCTGTCTAAGAACACACCGTCAGTGCAGTTCCCAGGGCAGAAGCAAATGTGTTATTATTGTTATTTAAAAGCTCCCTGGTCCCAGGTGTTTTGCGGTTTGCTAGAGGAATGCCCTTTAGGTCACAGCAGGTCCTCTGCAGTTTGGTTGTGGCACAAGGAAAAACAAAAAATGAATCAAAACTCTTAGGGAAACTGGCATCTCCCAAGGCTGTTCCTTTGTGATGGGGGCCCATTCCCGCCTCTGAGGCATCTCTCTTGTCACTGCAAACCTGATGGCTGCTCAGAGCCGGTCTCCGGGGACCCTGCTGAGCTGCCCTCGGTTTCCCCGCCCCTTCCGCTCAGCGGCAGGTACAACGTACAACCTCTGAAAGGAAGCTAAGGTCCCCTTCCCGCTGAGCTGGGCTTCGATTCTAAGTTTGACGATGACTAAAAAGTAAACACAGCCTTTTACAATGATTTTGTTTTAAAGGAGAAAATGAATAAGTGACAGTAGATATACGAAAAACCCAGCTAATGACCGTGGACATTAGGGTGTGTGGTCGTCCCCTGCAAAACACTGATGGAAATATTGCCAGGGGCCAAACTGTACCTTTGTGGCCACCTGAGTCCCAGTGTTTTCTACTGTATGGTGACTGGAGGTCAGTGGATCTATTAATAAGTTAAATATTCAAATCAAATCAGTTCTCGCTGCCTCTTCCAAGATGTCAAAGAGAAGGCCTTGAAGACGAGTGTCGGTACGACACGGTATTAGAGCTTCACGTCTGGCCCAGGCTCTGGGCTCACCCCTTCCCACTCAACCTGGACTTCCTTTCACATTCTCTTGAGTTCGCATGGACACCAACAACATGGAGGGAGACGCGCGTGTTGGGCTGCAGAACGGTCTGGGAAGAACACACCTGCCTTGGGGAGACGCGGCCTCCAACTACAGAGGCAATCGCTGGGGTTTGAAGATGTCAGTTATAAACAGAAATTTTCTTTAAAAAGTACCAGTTTAAATGTAAACTATAAAACACTTGAACTATAAAACGTAGCCAGAAATATGCTTAAGCATCCACAGTCAATTATTTAGTTTACTCATTTAAAATGTGACTCTCTTGATATCTTAGAAGGCTAACAGCATTTTACAGTAGCTAGAGACATATATACTTAACATGTTCATTTGAACATCACATTTGAGTACAACACACAAATAATAATCTCTTCCTTGGTTCAATTTTTGTTGTAAAGATTAACTATTTTCAGAGTTCACTTAAGCAACAACGACCAGGGTGTGCATTAATCATTATTTTCAGCCCACAGAGAATTCATAGTCTTTAAATCCCAAGACCAAGCTGGCTACATGATTTCAAAAAAGGCTAAAACCAGGATGAATGCCCACATTTGAGGTAATTATTGCCATTAGGTCACAGTTTGTGTAAGATAATGTATCTAAAACCTTCTAAAAAAATCTTTAGGTGTTCTGCCAGAATTCTAGAACAGCTACTGAAACCAACCAGGATCTCGAATTCTGATTAGCTGGGTTTGCTTCCAATGGAGTTAAAGTTCTAAAAGATTCTAAAACTTGTGTAAACTACCTAAGAATTTAGGCAAACGAGCCTGGAGCCAGTCAACAAAGAAGTTTTTAAAAGAAAAAACGAAACAAGAAACAAGAAACCCACCCAAAACAACTGAGCAGATACTTCATGATGAATGATAATAGTTTTTTTTAAAAATTAAAAATCTAGTCCTCAAGAATTTCTAAATTCTTGCCACCCTTCAACCAAAATAAAAATTCATCTATATTCCTATTAATCTCATGCCAGGGCAAGAGACATTCCTTCCTTGTGTCATAAAGTTGGCTAGTTTTTCTCAGTTTATCCAATTGTTGCTTTCCATTTCTTTGAGAAGGGTATCTATCTCAAAAGAAAACTTTATTTTGTTCCTCTTTCTAAGTCATCTTGTCTTCTTCTTTTTTTTTAAAGAAAGAAAAAAGTTCCTGGACACCAGACCCACATGTGGTACGTACAAATTTGGTGAGAACCCAGCATCTGGTCTGCCCAGAGCTGAAGCGTGGATCTATTACAGAGATCAGAGCTGTCATCGTAATTATGAAGTGCAGTAAAAAATAGCATTTTGAAAAAAAAAATATACCTTTAGTATTGCCTTTCTAGAATTAACTATAAGCAAGAAAAAATTATTATTTTTTTTTTAAAAGAAGAAAAGAACACTTTTTTCTCCACTCTTAGTTATAAGAGTTTGTTGTAGCAGCACTACTAAAGCTAGTTTGTACGCTGGAAAGAAATCTAAAAGGAATTCTACTATGAATCAAAAGAAACTCCCCAGAGATTTTCTCTAAACGTCAAACTAATTCTGTCCCTTCTGCCTGCCTCCAGCCCAGGCGCTCCCTCTCTGCACAGCCCTTCTGCGGAGTTCCACGGTGCAGGGGTGCTACCGGGCGACATTGCTTAAAGGCCTTTCTTTGCACATACGCAGGGGGACAGCTAGGTGAACGGCCGCAAGCTCGGCTGTGGAGCTGTACAGAGCCAGGTTCGAGCCCTGCCCGCCCCCCCAACCCCCGCAGGTTACGAGCTCTGCGAGCCACACGCTTCACGTGCAGAGGGACTAGTATTGCTGATCTCACAGGGTTATTGTGAGGACTAAACAAGACAACCAGTGGGCAATTCTCAGCACAGTGTTTGGCACACAGTAAATGGGAGTACCACTGAAGGGTTCATCAGAAATATGAGGCCCTCACTGCCGTTAATTTAAAAAGCGAAACAAAATCACATCTCAGTAAAGGCCTGATTAACAAAGCATTGAAACTTGGGGATTCTAGACTACCAGTGTGTTTCCTTTGCTTTAACACATGCTGCTGTGTTAGAGCATCCATCAGCTTCCTCAGCTGTAAATAAGGGGTGGCTGTGGGGGCCCCGTGAGATGACCCGCGAAGGGCCTGGCCGGGGCCTGGAGCACTGAAAGCATTCCGCGAAGGCTGGCCGCTGCTCGAGGGAGTCTGCAAGTTTTAACAAACAAGAGAGTTGACATAACGTGCCTGTGCAGGGGCCTGAGATGAGGGGCTCTCAAAGGCGTGTGGAAGACCCCCTCTGCTGCTGGTGTTCTGTGACACGCGCCCTGCAGGGGCCCTTCTCTGCAAACTCTCACCGAGTCTGAGGGTGAGAGCTGGCTGGGAGCTAGCTCTTTCTTGAACTTCTGGAAACTGCGACAAAGACGCGAGAAATCTCTACCGTCTTGGGTCACTACAGCGAGCGACGGTGCCAAAAGCCTCTAAGTCTGGCGTTCAAATCCCTTTACCCTCTGCCATTCTCTAGTAGCCTGAGATCTGACTGAGTCTAGTCTGGAGATTAGAAGTGAGAGTTCTAAGGCATCAAAGTGGAAAAGTACAGCTCTCCTGAGCTCTTGGCCCCCGACGCAGCCCGACTGCGGGCGGCAGCTCTGTGGCTCTCGCAGGACCGTGAGGTCACTTAGGCCCACGGATTCCTGCGGTGCCTCCGGTTCCCAACGCAGCAGCACTGAGGATGACTACTCCACTCCTCTTAAAAGATGGGCGTAGTTTTGAAATAAATGCAATTAAAAAAAAAAGGATAGAGAGGAAAGAGAAAGACAAATGGAATCGCATCACTAACGATGTCATTATTGCCTGGAAAGGAATGAGAGGAATGCCATTTTGTCCATCTCTGGAGGTGTCTTTGAGAAGGGTTCTTTGGCTAAACAAAGGAACAGTTTCACCTTCCTTTTCAATTTGGTAAGGATGTCTCTGGCCTGCTCTATCTTGAGGCTTCCCCACGGGAAATCTGTGAAGTATATTAATACATCAGAAGGAAAAGACAGACAGGGAAGAAGCCTGCATAGTCCCTGGGGCTGGAATGTGTCGTGGCAAAGTCATTCCTGCCGGCATCCCGCAGTCCCAGGCTGGCCTGCGGAAGGAGCCCTCGCCCCTCTGTTGGATTCTCTCTGCCGGCTGAGGGCACCTCGCTATTTCCTTCTTTCTGTTTTCTGTCCCAGCGGCTACGTGATGGGCCAACAGGCACGTTGGTCCCACATCGCACCCTCTGCTCGGCACCGGGCGGAGAGCTGGGGCGAGCTGGGGCCGCGCCCTCTCTCAACCGTGAACCATCAGTAAGACTTCCTCTAGCCTCCTCACGCCTCCCTCCAGTTTCCAAGAAAGTTTGCTCCGCTCACTCGTACGCGCTCACACAACCCAAACCCTCCCTGCACGCTTGTCAGAAACGAGTGTCTGCAATTCCCACGATCTGGTCGAGGGAAAGCATCCTGTCAGCAGCTGTGCTAACCCGCCTTCCCTTCCTACGTTCATCCCACATGCTGGTGTCTGGGCAGGTGGGGTCTTCCAGGCTGAAGAGGACGATGCCCCGCCGGCTCCCACAGCCCGCAAACACTCCAGCCTCCAGGAAGGCCAGAAAGGCTCCTCCGTCGGGAGGCAAACTCCGGTTTGCCCCAGCCCTTCCCGCTCCTCCGGTTACACCGACCACACGCTCCACTTCACAGTATGAACTGGCATCAAGCCTTGGACTCTCCCACTCCTTGGCCTGCTCACCCCCTTCCCTTGGAAACATCCGAAACATCATGAAGAGGCACTAAGCACAGAGACATGGGTGCCAGCACCCGGCGGGTCAGCAGAACCCAGCAGGCAGCCGCAAACCGTCCGTGGTTCACGAGGCTCCGGTTAGACGTTTCTCCATGACCTGTCCTTATAAGTCGTCCCCTCTTACTCTGAACGGTGTTTGTTTGAGAAGGAAGGATGGAACCAATTAAGTGGTGCTCTAGGTTATTTGTGGCCTAAATAAGGACTGGGTTGGCATCTCTCTGATGGACGGCTTGGTCCCAGGGACAGCGGCCTTTTATTCATCCTGTTTGCCACCGTGATTCGGTGCTGGAGGACCAATGGGAGATTCGGGCAAGCACGCTAAGGAGCGCACGCGGAGCTGGCCCCTCCTGCAGGGAGCTTCTCCGCGGCTTCTGATGCGCCAGCTCTGTGCGTGGGCTGGAGGAGGCCGCCAGGAGAGGGAGGATGGGGGAGCGCACTCACGTCTGCTGCCGTCTCACTTCCCTTCAGTGAGGCCGGCCTTTTCACCCCGTTCTCCCCCTGGGCCTGGCAGTTTCTGGGCTTGGGGGGTAGTGTGTGGGCACCCATCACACACAGTGCAGCACACTGAGGGATGCGGCTGGAGCCAAGTGAGGATGGCCGCGGGCCCCACTGTGCCCCTCCCTTGGCCGATGCTTTCAGAGGGGACACGGCCTGCAACATCTGAGCAGCAGCTGGACTTTGTTCAGGGTTTCCCTGGCCTCCTGCCCAACCCTCTACCTGCTTTTGGCTTGCTAGAACTGTGTGCGGGCAGGATGCATGGGGGACAGGCTGAGAAAGCAGGTAGTTAGGTTAGTGAATGGAAGGAGGGGGGGCGAGGCTGAATTTCCTGGGGGAGGTACCGCTGCCTGTCACTCTAACGTCAGCCTATCACACCCAGGGCTTCCAGGAGGAGGGAACTGTCCCTGCACTGAAGGATCTAAGCTGATGGGAAAGGGTGGGTGTTTGGGAAAGGGGCTGGGTGAGCGCGGGCAGGGATTTCTTTGCTTAAAAGTCAGAGGCAGGCCCAGGACCTAGCTGACAGATTTCAGAAGCGCAGGAGAGCGCAGAGGGCGTGGGAGAGAAGCCAGCTAAGGGCTGGACAGTTGGTGACTCAGCATTCCCTGAGCCCGGGAGCTGCTCCCTCAGATCTCGTCCTAGGCCACTGGGAATCCAGAAAGAGATAATATTGATGGTGAGTGACCATGTTGTCAAAAGCCCAATCTGGGCTGCATGAGAAAAAGGCTTTGATTCTTCTTCAAACTTTTGTCCCGTGGTGCGTCTTTCCTGACGGCTCTTCGTGGGATAGAGATGACAGAAACAATTTTCCTAATTCCTGGGTCTTTCCTTTTCTTTTTTTTTTTGCCTGACAAAACTGGACATTTGTATGTCCCTCCAGTCTACTCATATACTCACAGATATAATAAAATAAGTTTAAATATTAAAGATAAAACACAAAGATACTTGGAATAACTGTGCATTTGAAACCCTGACTACAGTATCAACATGATGATGATCATAATTACAATGGTAATAACAAAAATAATTAGTACAATAATATTATCTTTATGAGCAGCATGGAACTTTCATTCCTGATCTGGAAGAAGGAAAAAAAATGTCAGGTGAAAGAGTAAGAAGTTTCCAACGTAAGCAGACAAAAGAATTTTCTTCAAAATGAAAAGAACATTTTAAATCATCTTTTCCCCTAAGAGATCAGATCTAGAAAGGGCTAGAAGGGAACTGTGCCAGGGAGTTCAGGGTGCTATCCGATAAGGCAAACTGAGGCTCATCTGCAGCCAAGACAAGACGCCTTGGGACTCGGTAAGAGCAGATCTGATGGGACATTGCTGCCACCTGGCTGCCAAGAGTCCCTTAACAGACATGCTTTCCAGGCTGGCCCAGCTCCGGGAGGGACCTGGCTCCTGTGTCCTGTGAAGGCGTGGCTCCCCTCGCCCTCCCTGAACCCATCCTTTTCTGTTATCTCAGAGCGACGGCACCATCCCACCTCCGGATAGCCCACCTCCGGATAGAGACGGATTGATCACGCCTGAGGACACCACCTCTCTGCTGCCAGCGGCCTCATAGCGACTCTGCCTCCAGCAGGGGCTCGGCAGCGCCGCTGCCCGAGTGTGCTCAGCAGGTGGTGGTGTCCTTCCTTCTCGCCCAGGGCCCGGAATAAGCTGTTTCCAGTTTGGGGACCTATTTCTTTATAAGATAAGTAAGAATTTATGACTGGAGTGGGGAAGTTTCCAGAGTTAGTTCACAGCTAAGAGCTAAGTAACGGCTTCGTTACTGAAGTAGGGTGGATGTCACTACAAAACACCGTTCACAGTAGACGCTTCCGCGAGGCTGCAGAGTGAGGAGCATGGGGAGGAGGATGAGGAAGGGGCTGCCGGAGCAGGAAGGCCTCTTTGCACCTTGGAAACTTGGCTGTAGGGTCAGGTAAGGACTCAGCCTCAGAACCAAACAATTAGAACCACCCTTTTAAAAGGTCGTCCTCGACCAGATTCCCCTGACATCCACATTCACATATTTCAGAGATATTTACTGAGTAGAGGGAACTCCCCACCCCCTCCCGCCCCCAATTTCAAAGCCTGAGAAAACTTCAAGAATGTATCAAAGGTGCAAAGAGGGCAAAGGGCAGATTTCTTTGGAAACGTAACTATCCACAGGAGTGTTTTCCAAAGTGCAGCGTGAGACCGCCCTGGCTGCCCTCGTAGCGTGCCTCCGACCTTCTGCCCACCAGCCCCCTCGGAAACCAAAACCAAAATCGTGTCTTGAGCAGACCTGGGTAATGAATGTGAGGAAAAGAATTCAAGAGCAAACAGAGGCTGGTGGTTGTCTCCAGAGGGCGGGATCTGGCAAAATCTTGAGAGCAAAACCCAGTCCAGGGAGCTGGGGGAGAGTGAAGTGTGGGGTGAGTCTGAGGATGCTGGGATCTCTTTGGGGGGCCTGGGGGACGCAGCCCGGGAAGGGAGACGGCCACACACGCAGGCTGTGGTGGTCCTGGAGGTCCCACAAATGGCAGGGCTGGCCCGACGGGCAGGGCTGCGGGCACAGTGGGGCAAGGGCAGAGGCTGGGGAGTCTCTCTGGGTCTCTGTCCCCAAAGTACAACTCAACTAAAGCCATCAGATGCACCTGCCCAGTATCTGCCTCCCACGTCTCTCTCGAGATCCACGGACACTCTCCCTCTAGCTCCTGCCAGCTTCCCTGACATCCTTCCGCTAGCCAACAGCCTAAGAAAGACAATGGGCATTAAAGTAAAATTAAATCAAAAAAAAAAACAAAAAAGGAAAGACCAGAGTAAACTGTTACAACAGCACAACAGAAGAGCTGAGATTGTGTCTGACTAACCTCAGTCGGCTTCTTGGAGTACCAGTGGAAGTAAACCCTCACACCGCGTCTGTCGTTCGGTAAGGCACTAGGAGGGAATGATGTAGAATCAAGACTGCGCCAGCTGTGGTGGCGGGCCGGGGACGCGCGGGCCGAGGGCCGAGGGAGGCGGCGCACCCACACACCCGCACACCTGGGCCGCCACATTGGTTACATGCCTATGTTATATCGCTTTTTTTTGTGCAATTACATTGAGGAATAGTCTATTGGTATCATTGGAGTTGAACACAAGGTAGGAACGAGGGTGCAGAGTGCTACATTCTACTAGGGTGTCCACAACGTCCGCTAGCCCTATGCTACGTGACTAGGGGTTGATTCAGAGAGAAAATAAATCTTCAGAAAAGGAAAAAACTAAAGTTTGCAACACACGTTATTAATGACATTTGAGGAATAACATTGCTTAGGGATTTATCCAGAGTGCTCAGAAAAAGACAATCTGCCCCTCTCCCCGGGGGTTTTCCGTCAGCCTGGCCACTCCCCGGAGACCTGTCATTCCTGACCGATGAGCCAGGACTGGGCTTCACCAACCCCAGACCAACCCCCAAATATCAGCCTCCTCAGGCCACGGCCTGACATCCTGGAGGGGTGTTGACCCTTTAGAGTTCTGGAAAAATCCCTAATTCTCATGTTCAATTAATTAAAAATCTATTGGATTTTCATATCAGGTGTTCTTGACAGCGAAGTCTTCAGTGTCACTTGCTGTCATATGAAAATAATCTTTGAAAAGTTCATAGATAAAGTTTTTCAAAAACTGGGGCCCCCCCCACTTCCAGAAGCTTCCTGTTGTTCTCCTCTTCTTTCCAGTTGGGTGCAGAATGGGCTCGTGAGCTGTGTTTTCTTCTTACTGACGTTTTCTTTTTTTTTTCTTTTTCTTTTTTAAAATAAAAAGCATAGATTTCCCCCCCTCCTTAATCCCTTCCTTTTTAAAATGTTCTCTTCTCTGCTCTAAGTCCTCCCACCTCCTGGTTCAAGTTTTATTTGTGTCCCTTCGCCGTCCCTGTCCCCGGCCCCCCGCCCCTGCCTGCTTGCATTGTTTGTGTGCGGCATCTTCAGTATAAAAAGCCGGCTCCGTCCCAGGAGCGCCCTCCCCGCCTCCCCCTCCTCCCCACCTGTTCTCCCCCTCCCTCCCCCTCCAGTGTTTATATGTAAGGGTACTGGTTGACCTTGGCGGGGCTCAGTGGGTATCCAGTGTAGACGGTGGAGGCTGGCGAGGCGCTGATGTAGGTCTGGTGGGCGAACTGGGCTGGATACTGACTCGGGTGGATGGTGGGCGAGGGCAGGACCCGGGGCCCCATGCTCACGGGGACCTGGTGGACGATGCTGGCCGGGTAGGCAGTGTGCTGCACGGTGTGGCGTGCCGAGCCTTGGGAGGCCACTAGGTGGGCCACGGTGCCTGTGGAGCCCAGGGCAGCGGGCGCCGTGTAGGTGTAGAGGTGGGGCTGGGCGGGGAGGTGCGCGGCGGCCAGGTGGGGGTGGACAGTGCCGTGGCTGGGGCTGTTGTGCGGGAAGGAGTACGGGGCCTGAGCCATGGTGGGAGCGATGTAGGCCTGCTGCCGGCGGTGGTTCCCAGCGCGGTCCGCGGTGATGTGCTGCTGGGCCTGCGGGGAGAGGCGCCGAGAGACGGGGTTACGGCTGGCACGGGGAGGAAGGGAGGCGCCGGAAGTGACAAAAGAGCTCCCCTTGTACGCTGAGAAAGTCCTGACACAGCAGGCCAGGACAACACAGGGCTACAGCCAGCTGCAAAGCTGACAGAGGGCGTTTCCCCCAAAGACACGCAGGGCTGGGAAGTGGCGGGAGGCCGCCTCTCTGAGCGGCGCCTGCTTTCTTTCTGGCTTGCTGTTTCCAATTCCATCGACCCACATCAAAGAACCCCCTCCTGCGGGGACAGCTGAAGTCTCCGTGACACAGAGACGCAGGCTTGGGGCACAGCCTGGGCACAGCGCTCCGGACGAGGGGTTCCGAACCCGAGCTCCCCCTCACCTCACCTCAGAGTTTCTGAGGACACGGGGCCCCGCGTCCACTCTGCGATCCAGAGCTGACGCTGACCCCTCCCGCACGGCCCTGCTCTGCACCCCAGAAACGCCGCTTCGCTTAAATTTCACCTCTACCCCACCAGCTGCCCCGACTCTCGGGCCGCGCTGTCCCCTGGCTGGCGTCTCTGTGCGTGGTCTCCCTCCCCGCAACGAGCCCCAGGCCGACTGGGCCAGAACACAGTGCTTTTACCCTTTGCTGGGCTGAAACGGCGCTATGTGGGCCGCCCTATTTTTAACCCTGGCACCACGTCACCAAGGGCTCTGTAACATTAGACGAGTCACTTTGCTTGGGGCCAGCTCTCTGTGAACCAGTGAAACCAACTTCCCCAAGGGCGACTAGGAAGAAGCCACCGGCGGTCACTCAGGGCACTTTCCGCCACCAGCGGGCAGGACTGCAGCCCTGCGAGGTGCGCGAGGGTCCGCCAGTGACCCTCTAAGGAAGGCAACGGGTGGTCTCCCGGCCTGGAGTGCGGCGGGGGCCTACCTGGCTGAGATTGAGCGGCTGCTGCTGCTGGAAGTGGGGGCCCGGCCGCTGCTGCCGGTAGGCGATAGCTCCAGACGAGCTCCCTGAAGAATGACCGCTGGTGGAGGTCACGTTGCTGGAGGACTTGGACTTGTAGGAGGACGAGTGGTGACTGGTGTTGACTGCAGGGGAGGGGGAAAAGGTCACAGATCAGTGCAGGGCTGCAGCCGCCCAGAAGACGCCACTCCCTAGCGAACGGTGGTCTTCCAGGAAGGAACACGCTCCCAAGCCTGGCCAGTCGCAAGGCAGCCTTGCCTCCCCCAGACCCAGTGAGGAGTCTGCCTCGACTCTGCACTGGCAACTGGGCTCCGGCTTGTTCGCTTGGTTGGGAGGGTGAACGGCACCACAGACGAGGGGATGAAGCAAAGGAAAACGAAAAAGCTAGAGGCATGGTGAGCCAACAGCCTAAGCCCCGCGTCATGCTGGTCCTCCAAAGAGGTGTTATTTCCACACCTGGAAAACGGGTGGGAGGGATGTGCCATGGTTTGAACGTGTCCCCCGAGTTCATGTGTTGGGAACTTAATCCCCAGTACAGCAGTGTTGGGGGTGTGGCCAGTAAGAGGTGATTAGGTCATGAGGGCTCTGTCCTCGAGAGTGATGGATGTCGTTATCGAGGGAGTGGGTTAGTTATCTTGAGAGTGGTTCTGTTATAAAAACAAGCTCAACTCCTTTGCTCTCACACTCTCTTGCCCTTCCACCTTGTGCCCTGGGAAGATGCAGAGTGAAGGCCCTCTCCAGATGCCCGATGCTGGTGCCACCATGCTCTTGGGACTTCTAGCCTCCAGAACTGTGACCCAAATAAACTTTTTTTTTTTTAGAGACAAGGTCTTACTCTGTCACCCAGGCTGGAGTGCAGTGGCATGATCATAGCTCACTGCAACCTTGAATTCCTGGGTTTAAGCAATCCTCCTGCCTCAGTCTCCAAAGCAGCTAGAATGACACATGCACCCCACCACAACAGGCTAATTTTTTAAAAAAAATTTTGTTGAGCTCAGGTCTGGCTATGTTGCCCAGGCTGGTCATGAACTCCTGGCTTCAAGCGATCCTCCTAATGAACAACCAGAAGCTAAAATAACCCCTTAGGAGTCACTTGGTCTAGTCCCCTGACCCTAGACAGGATGAGACTAATTCATCGAGGGAATGGCTTTGTGAGCCGAACATGGCCAAACAAAGTGACTGTTTCCATGTTACTGGCAAGGAGGCTGAAGAATGCAAAAGCTGTGGCGACTCTCTGGCGGCACCTGCATGGCCAGCAGGTGGCTCCATCAGGACTTTGCAAAGTTTAATTCCTGCATCTCATTAAATGCAGATCCTGGCCCAGCAGCTCTGGGGTGAGCCTCTGCTTTCCTAACAAGCACCAGGGATGACACTGCCGGTCGGTCAGTGGCCCACGTTCTGAGTGGCCGGCAGCTCTGTGAGTGAGGCAGGTTATACCCCAAGTAGGATGGCTCCCCTGACACCCGGCCAGAGGAGGCGCTTCAGAGCCCAGCTGTTTTAACTCATCCAGCAGACACTTTTTCAGCTCCTGCTGTGTGACTACGTGTCATGCTAGGATGCAGGTGGCAGAGTAAAGGCTGGGAGTGTGACTAGGGAGGAGGCATCAGACCATGTAGATGAGAGGGTAAGGTCAGAGGGCAAACCAGGTGACAATGCTGACAGCAATAGGCTATGTCCAGGGAGGCCGAACGAGCAGGACTTGGGGTGGGGGGGACAAGAGTCCACGAGTTCGTCAGGCTGGGGCAGCGAGGTCCACTGCTAGGTGAGGCCATCTGCCCCACCCTGGTCTGTGGGAGCCCTGCAGGCAGGACCACCCCTCCTTGATGAAAGAAGAGATGCTTGGCCAGCCCCCGATGTCCCTGCACCTCATCTTCTCCAGGGGGTCCCACCCAACACACCCACAGTATTGATAGACACGGAACACAAAACACAGGAACAACAACAGGAAAAGCAACAGGCAGACCCAGACTAAGATACTAGGTTTCTCACATGCAAACCTGCACAGTAGCCTAGGAAAGCATGGGAGAGAGAAGGTCCTGGACACCTTCTCTTGCTTGCATGCCAACGGGGCAGAAAAAGTGGGGTCAGTAAGCAAAGGCTATGACAACACAGCCTGCAGACTGTGTTGTATCGTTAGAAACCATAGTTATAGTTAGTATTGCTTCTGTTCCTAAGAAACTAAAGAACAGAGGAGGGTTAATGGATTAGAAAATGTCTTCCAGGTGGAAAGACAGGCAGATGGTCCCCCTCCAAGACCGGCAGGGCAGGGCAGACCAGGAAATGAACACGAGCTTGGGGCTGGGCTGGGGGCTGGCTGCTGGTGGCTTCCCTGGGAAACCAGTCCCTGTTGGTGTGAGGTATGTGCACAAAGGCAAGGCCGACTCTTACACTAAGAATAGACTGTGGAAGGCTTTGTCCAGGAGAAGAGAGGGCACATTTTAAGAGAGAAAAGTAATGAATTACCTCATTTTCATTGTCTTTTGCTTATTGGAGCACTTTATGCATTGTATCTTGCATTCAGTGATTTGTTTTTCTTCATTAAGTTTCTGGAATGTGACTGAAATACTTTCATGACCTTGACTTTCTATGGAGCACAAGTATATTTCTGTGATTTATAGTTTCTGCAAAGCTTGCTGGACTCTAGAATTACTGTCTGGTGACACTGAAAAGTATAAGGAAGGTCTACGAGAGGAAAGACGAAGTAACTGACAATGTGAGAAAGACCTTTGGCACAGGAGCTCCAGTCATCTGCCAAAATGTGTTGTCCTTCGCAGACTCCCCCACTCTAAAGCCGTCCGTATTTGAGAAAGTTGCCCAAAGTAGGGGTGTTCAAGAGAAGAATCATGTGAAGTGTCTGATATTACGGGATAAGCAGCAAGAATGTTTCTCAAGTTGTCCAAAGACAGGTCTACATCTCATGTTGCTCAGAACATTTAAATGCTGGACCTGGGTACCTTAGGCAAAAACAAAAGCCTAATTCCGTCTCAACTAGGTGTACTATGGTAGTTAGTGTAAAAGTGGTGCATCTGGTCATTCTTGGGGCAGAGGGTACTAAATATTAATGAACCACACACAATAAGGGCCAGGCCCTTGATAGAATTGGGTTGGATCAATTCTATTACAAATCCCAGGTGACGAAATCAAAGTCAGAGAGGAGACACCTAGGCTGGGGCTGGCCAAGAGAGAATGCTGATTAATTGTCGACGAAGAGGTCTCAGCCTTGCAGGAAGGGCAAAGGAAAGCTGGAAACCTGAGGACGGGATTGTGGCACACACCTAAGGTGGAGGGGAGCCTCCTTGCCCTCCAAAACCAACGGCACCCCCTGTCCTGAGTAACAGGAGAGCCACCCCACTGAAGAGTGACACAGTGGGTGTTAATCAGAGGCCCCCAGAGCCAACTGTGCACTGGCACCTGGAGCCCCTTCTGCCACACCCCTGAATCGGAATCCCGCAGGCAGGTGCCTGGGAATCGGCATTCTTAGCGACTCTCCCAGGGTAGTCCAGAGCCAGCTTGGCCCTGGTGGAGCAGAACTGCATTTAGGCATTAGGACCCTGAGACCCCCCACTGTGCCCAAGCCATCCCTGGTTAAGACTCTCAAAGGCCCCCCAAAACCTGGGGCAGGGAAGGGTTTTTGTGGACCTAGCGTAGGATAAAAAATAGACAGTAAATGTTGGCTCTCTGCAGAAGTTCCGTTTCTCTCCCTCCCTCAGCCACAGGGCTACTGTGTTGGCATCCAACTCCTTCCTGCTCTGCGGATCGCAAATTGCGCTTGCCGTCTGGGCCCCAGCTGTGCGTGTCACCTCTCTGCTCCTATTACAACCTCCTGGGCATTTCGTGCTAGTTACATATGAGGGAGAAACACTGAGCTGGAAGGTCTACAGGGTGAGTCTGCAAAGGGACGAGGCCAGTAAGTCTTAGATGAAACGGGTGTGACAGAGCCTGGCACTCTGTCTGCTGTGCTCACCACAGGGACGGAGACAAGCGCTAGGGCAGAGCTGGTGGTGCTGCTGGAGCAGGAGGGCTCTGAATAAGGGAGGGGTCCTGGAGGGGCCAAGAGATGAAAGTAGTAACTCTTCCTGCAGAGACGACCAAAGGGGCTAATGCCGAAGGCCAACCTCCTAATACATATTTTGGAGCTGTGAGGAAACATTCTAGAATTTTCTGGTCATGCCTTGCTCAGCTACTCTTAGGGATCCCCTGTCCTGGGAGCAGCCCTTCATTCACAGGGTGGCCCCCGTGGCCCTGTCTGCAGGGTGATGGGAGTGCTTAGGGCTTGTCTAGCTCTGGAGCCAGGCTCCTGGGAGGCCTGGCCACGTGCCTCGGTGAGCTGGTTACCCCTTCTCCATCTCAGCCTGTAAAACTGGGAAAACCATGGCAGCTACGTGTAGGGCTGTTGTGAGGATGACATGAGTTAACATATGCAGAATGCTCAGGTCTGGCACTTAAGCATTGAGTATCTGGCACGTAAGCACTTAGTAGGTATCAGCTATGCTAGCTATTGTTGGTGTCGTTATCCTTGAACACTGTCTCCTGGCTAAAGCTGATGCTAAAGGACAGGTGTGGCCCCAAGCTAGAACAATCAGTTCTGGTCTCCTGGAAATGGGGGATTGGGAGCCTGGGCGTCGCTGGCCCTGAGTCAGGGTGAAGGCAGCTCCAGGGCAGGCAGCGGGCCTCCCGAGGCTCCCGTCCCAGGAGTTCTGGCTCCTGCCCGGCCTGGACTAAGTTGTTGAACTTTTCCTCAACCCTGCATCCTTCCAAGAAATTCTTTGTCTTAAGCCAGTGCAGAGTTCACTCTGCTGCTTTCCAAAGGAACCTTAACTGACCCAAGAGACCTGAGAAGGCCACGGGAGAAACCCTCAAGGGTCCTCCCTGCACTGAGAGCCACAGGAGGGGGAAATACTGTGAGAAAATGGACTGCTCTTCAAGCAGCACTCACTCAGCCTGACCTGAGCTCTCCGGTGCTCTGGAGGTTCCAGCTGGGGTAGCTGTGGTGGCTGTGACGGGCCTGTGCCTCAGCCTATGCCAGTCACCTGGCACCAGGGAGCTGAACAAGGCTGCTTTCCTGAATTTTCCAAGCCTGGGAAGATTTTGCCCAGAGGCACACATTAGTGTTGAGACCACTGGCTGGGGAAGGGCAGGCACCAGGCAACAGGGGCGTGACCTTGGCCTTGCACATTAAGACAGAGGCGGCCTGTCTCATGTACTGAATGAGTTCCACCTGCAGCTTTGAGGTTTTTGCAAACATATTTAAAGAACGTAAATAATGATACAACACACAATATGACAGAAATTATATCCATTGCAAATAAAATATTTAAACTTAAAAATGTGTGCTGGATATCGTTTTAAACAATTATTTAACAGATATCTGAGCAGCAAAGTGTGTGGGCTGCTCTCTAAGGAATCTGTTTGCCTTACAGGGCTCACTGGTTACCACTAGAGAATGCTGCTTCCTGCCGGGGTTTCCACCAAGACATTTGCCCGGGTAGAAAAAGAGTGTTTGGAGAGAGATGTCCTCATGGCATTGTGGAAGGGCCTGCTTCATTTTCTTTTCCTCAAAGGGGTGCCTCATTTTGGGGACTCCAGCCTGGCCCCTGTCAATGAGAATGCCCACCCTGGCGTCTGGCACTGCGACAGGTCCGTCCTTCCCGAAGGTAAGGCCCCCTTCCTTCTTTCGAGAGCGTGCACGGCGTGGGGTTCAAGCTGCTGCGTGCCTCCCTCATGCGGCGGCTCAGCGGCCCTACGTTTCTTTCCGCCGGGACACTGAGGGCACCGTGACCCCCTGGCCCACAGAGCGCGGACTCTGAGGTCAAAGCCTCTCGGAGCCTGCATGGTCTTGACAGAAACAGCACTGCTGGGGACTAACGGGGTTTGGAAATGGAGCAGCTTTGGCAGCATGCTGAGATGGCTGCATTTAAGGAAAATTTCTTCAGAGGAAAGGTAGCTGGGGTAGCTACAGAGTCCGGGAAAGAGAACTTGTGACGTGAATGCGGGGAGGTGCGATCCCACCTGGGCCACCGCGCCACCTTGGGTTAGGACGAGGAGGCTGCGGGAGTAGAGAGCTTGCAGCTGTTTCCATTTCCCCTTCAGGCACAGCGCGCGGGTGCAAAAGGGGCCCTGTCCCGGGCTCTGTTGTGAGCTTTAGGGAGAGCATCCTAGGACACTGACCCGTACTTGGCAGGCTGGCCCGTGGTGCTGGGCTGGAAAAGTCCCTAAAGACCTCGTCCCGAATCCCACTCTCCACCCTCGGTGCCAGCACACGCATGGCCTCCACCCCCCGGGCCTTACACGTGGTGACCACCCTGGGAAGATGCCCAGTTTTCTATAGCAACCCCAGGCCCTCCCGAGGAATTACAGCTTCTCACATCTAAACGAAACCTTCCTGGCAGTTTGTATTCCTTCCCTTCTAAATGGTGCCGTCATGAAGGTGCTGACTGGCTTGGGGCTGGGGATGGTCCATGGCAGAAAAGCAGAACATGCAGATTTCTTCCGGTTTAGTCCCCAAATTCTTTCACGGTGAGCATGAACCAGGGAAACGCTGAATAGATGCTACCAAATCTAGGGGGAGCTGACTTCATTCAGAAGGTTAAGTTCTCAGCCTTTATTCTAGGGCCCAATTTTCAGGACAAGCTTTCACAGAATGGGAGAAGTCCTGTTAATAAAGCAGCACGTGCAAAGAGAAACACACTCGGCTCGGATCTCTCCTCCCAGCAGTGGAGAGGAGCCTAATTCACCCTCACCGAGCAAGGCTCAGAGAAGGTTCTTCCCACACGGGGCGTCCACCTGCCACCAGGGCTCCCTGGCAGGAAGTGATGCCAGATGTCAGCCAGGAGCTCCCCAAACCAGGTATCCGTCCAGACCACTGGATAAGAAATGCACAGCTTTTATATTTGGCCACCTAGTCGGAAGCAGAGCCATTGCAGAGGCAGCAAGGTATTCATTACAGAAATACAAAGGGAAGGCGCTGCTTATGCGATGTGATATTAAGGCGAACCCTACCTTGGCCACTTGAACCAAATCCTTAGCAAGGATCATCTGCAATGACTGGGCACTCCTATTTTACTAGCTCTCACGCAGCAGCATTTATAGCAGCAGAAAACAGAAAACCAGTCTCCAGAGAGGTTCCCAGCCTGCCCTGGCCCCAAATTACCTGGCACCAGGCTGTCACATTCCACCAATACTTCGCTGGCCTGGGTTTTCAGGGGTGGCACAATGATCGTTCGGGGGTTCCCAGTGCAGTGACTCTCCAGGCTCCCCTTGGTGTCCAAGGTGTGGGCGTTGCTGTGCCCGGTGCGCTGCTGCACAGAGTAGGGGCTGGTGTTGCTGGAGGAGTCGGAGTAGGGAGAGTCGTGGACTGTGACACAACTGATGACATTTTTTCTTTGCTTGGAGACAGTGCTGAAAACATAAAGGGAGAAGTCAGACTGTGAGAAGGCTTCAGGAGACAGGCCTCACTATGCCCAGGGCAGGGGATGGGGAGGAATATGACTTTGTTCTCCCTGGTCCTCAGAGGGAGGCTGGGCACACAGGGGGACATGTGAAGACATGAGGGAGGGGCTGGTGCTGGGCCCACAGGTGCTCTGGAAACCAGGGAGAAGCTTCCAGGCGGGCCTGGGCTCTCCCCTGTGCAGCAGAGCTCAGCAGAGCCTCGGAAGAGGCACTGTAGCCTGGAGCTGTGTGGCCACCCGCTCTAGGCCACCAGAATGGGACATCTGAGCAGGCAGAGAGAACCAGCAAGAACCTGGCAGCCTGTGTGTCAGTTTGGGAGAAGCACCAAGCTGAGAGGGAAATGTCATAAACCTAGGCTTGGGGCCTGTGAGGTCCACAAAGCTTAAGCAGGAGGGAATGGATGATAAGGAACAGGACACAGAGTGAGGGACAGGACAAAAGCGGGGCTCTGAGGAGGATGAAGCCACACCGCAGAGTGCCCACATGCCGAGGAAGAGCAGCTTGAGCCAGGTAGGGCGCCTCTGCACCTCTTTGCCCTGACGGTGCTCCGCAGGATGACTGTGTGCCGGCCACCCGGGACCTCTGGAGTCCCCTTGTCAACCTCCCCAGCGCCCGGGCCAGGGGTCAGGGAAGAGATGGCATTGCATGGGGGCCTTGAGGAAAGGCTCCTGCCTCGCTGATGCTATGAGGGGGTCGCTCTGAACCCCTGGTCTTCCTCTTGCATCTGGAACTTCATACGATAGGGAGGAATTTGCTTTGGTTGGCTTTTGGCTGGCACATTTTTTCCAGAGATATTTATGTTACTGTGGTTACTTGGGGAAGCAATTCTGTCTGCCTCCAAGCTCAGCGAGAGGCTGGTGGGATGATGGATGTGGAATTTATTACTTATTGAATAAGGCTTTAAAAATGGATGTTCCTCTATTTTTATATATTGATCATTTATTTTTAAGAAATAACAATTGCCTAAGCAAGCTGGTTAATTTTCAACTAACTGGAAAGAGAGGCAGCTGGTATTTATGGTGCCTGATGGAGTCACAGCCACCCCGTGGGTGTCAAGGCCATTATAGCCAGACCGGCATTTCCCAAGATGGATCGCTGCCACTGTAGGCTCTGGAGTTTGACCAGCAGAGAAATGTGCAAACTCCAAAGCCCCACAGGAGCCAGGCATTGGAAGGACAGAGCAGGGCTGCTAACCTACAGAAGGCCGGAGGGGCCCAGGAGACCCTGGCTCTGTTTTCTGATGCCTAGCACTACTGACATCTGGGCTGGACAATTCTTCCAGTGGCTGCACACTGTCCTATCTGGTTCGGGGTAGAAGGGTCCCTAACTGTGTCTGTGGGTAAGAACATAGGCCCTGTAGCCAGATGTCTAACTTCAGCATGTGCTAGTGGTAGGGCCTCAGGCAAAGCTATTCAACCTCTGGGTGATTTGTTGGCGTCATCAGTAAAAGGTGAGTAATAATCATACCCACCATAGGCTTGTTCTGTGAACTAAGTGAGAAAATACATGGAAACTGCTTGGAATAGTGCACAACACATGATAAGTATTCCATAGACGTTAGCTGCTATTACTGTTGTAAGTTTACAGTAAGTTGTGATACCTTGTTTAACATGGGAAAACAGGTTTGCAAAAAACTTATCTAGGCAAAGAGGATTCTATCAGGTTAAGGACTTGCTGGTAAAGTTTCTTTTTTTCTTGTCTATGAATAAACCGGAAGACTGAAATGAAAGAAAATTAAAACTTAATAGTTAGATATCTTTCGAGATCCATGCTAGGTGCTACAGGGAATACTTGTACAAAGAAGTATGTGTCTCTGCCCTCGAGGAGATTAAAATCTCAGTGGGTGACAGTATAAAAACATGACAAGTCAAACAGTAAAAGCTTTAAAATAACCAGTTAAAGAGAATAACGGATGTCACAAATCCTTCTGTGATTAACTGTCAGATGAGTTGTACAGATGATAATTGTTAAGAACTGGAGAGGGTGAGGAATGAATTGGTTGCATATATTTATGCCTCTTCACATTAACTTAGATAAAATAAATTTTAATGAATAAAGGCCTACACTTCCCACTTATGACAGTTTAAATGCAAAAAGTCCATATGCTTGTTCCTCAAAAAGCTAAGCACAGAGTTACTATAGGACCTGCAATTCCGTCCCCAAGTATGTACTCCAAGGCCAGCAGGGACTCAAATAGACACGTGTGTGCTCGCTGCAGCATCACTCACAATAAGCAAAGGTGGAAACAACCTGAGTGTCCCTCGACAGATGAATGGCTAAACGAAACGTGGTACGTCCATACAATGGAATACTGCTCAGTCATAAACACCAATGAAGCTCTGACACAGGCCACAGCGTGGATGAACCTTGAAAACATTAAATAAGCCAGACACAAAAGGACAAATACTGTATGATTCCACACGTGTGAAATATCTAGAATAGGCAAATTCATTTAGACAGAAAACAGATTAGTGGTCACCAGGGATTGGAAAGAGGGAGGAATAGTGAGTGACTATTAATGCATACAAGGTTGCTTTTTGGAGTGATGAAAATGTTCTTGAATTA